CACGGACCGGCCAGTGGATAGACGCCCACGCTGGGGCCTCTTGGCGACGGCAGCCCCTGGAGCCAGGCGGCTGGTGCAACCCTGCGCGGGCACAGCGAGCAGCTGGACCTCCCTCTCCGCCTTCCTGAGCCCTGTCCCGCCTCCGCCGGGGGCGCAACCCCCTCTCCAGCGCAGCGCGCCCCGTGCGCTCTGGGCAGAGGCGGGGCCCCGGGCGCGGCTCCCATTGCGCGGGCCGAGGAGGCGGACCCAGGCGGCGGCTGGCGCATGCTCCAGCCATGGCTGCGCCGGGGGAGACGCTGAGGAAGAGGAGGGGGGTGGGGGGAGCCTCCAAGCCCCCCCCAGCGCCCAGCCACGAGGAGGGGGGGCAGGCGCCCCCCGCCCGCCTCCCGCTGCGCCCGGGCACCTTCTGGCTCAGCAGGATCGTGCTCCTGCGCTGCATTGCGCTGCTCTACTGTGAGTCTCTGCGCCCACCCCAAGCGCAGGCAGCGCGCAGCTCCTTTCCCCGCTCCGAGCGCGCAGGGGGGAGGGCGCCCCGCAGGCCAGGCTGCCTGCAAGCAGGAGCCCTGCTGGCAATGCGGGGGCCGCCCCCCCCCCAAACACGTGGAGGGAACTTTGCTCACCTGCGCCCTCTTGTTGGGGAGGGGAGGTCTCTGCACCTTGCTTTGTAGGTGCCCACCCATGTCTAGCCCCTGCCCTGGTCCACCAACAAGCCCACCATTTCCCCTGGTTCTGCCTCTTAGCTCCCCTCTGCAGGGCTGTGTAAGGGGACTCAGGCGGGGGACTCCCACCCACCGACACCCACCCAACCCCATGTGGGTCACACACCTGGTGCCCAAGCAAGCGGTGTTTGTTGGGGCCGGGGGCAGGGCCAATGTTCCCTCTACTCTTTTCTGTTCAGGTGTGGATTGTTCCCATCCATGTGCCAAATAAATTTTATCGCATGCACGGAGGGATGTGCGGATGCGCACCCCCGGGAGAAACAAAACCCAGCTGTGGGAGCTCTGCTATCAGCTGGGCAGCATCTGACTTTCTCCTGAGCGGTCGCCCAAGCATCCAGCTTGCAGGGGATGCTGGGCAGGATTGTCTTCTGGGTCTGTACTGCACCTAGCACACGGGGCTCTCGCTGAGGCTGCCCAGCAAAGAAGCCTCTTAAGAACATAAGAGCAGCCGTACAGGGCCTGACCAATCATCCCGCTACCCCAGCACCAAATCAGATGCTTCAGATAAAAATCACGGCACAGGGCCATTGATCGAGTGGTCCCGATCCTGTCCTGTTGCCCCAGCTTTTGGCAGTCAGGCGCTTAGGGAGACCCACAGCACAGGGGTGCGTATCTGACCATCTTGGAAAAACAACATGGGGTCCTGTGATGGGTTTTGCCCATGGAAACTCATGATTCTCTGTATTTTGGTTAGTCTCTCAGGGGCCACAGAGCCACACGTGGCTTTTACAGGCGCAGACAAACATGCCGAGCCCTCTGAGATTTTTCTGACCCTCTCGAGGAATGGTACTTCACGAAGTTGTTCTCCGGGAGCCTGTCTAATTCTTCTTTGTACCCAGTGATGCTTTTGAACCCAGTTCCCAGAGGTACTGAAATGTCTCGTGTTTCAGAAGTGTGCGCAAGGCCACCCTCCGCCTAGGTGCTATGCGAATACAAATACTATGCTGATCAAAAACAGGGTGCTTGAGGGGAGGGGGATAGGAATCCATCCTGCAGTTTCTTGGCTGCTATTCCAGGTCCTGGGATGGGGAATGACTATAGCCTCAGTCGGCCTCCTACAATGGGGTTTGCAAGTTGCTGGATCAGTGTAGGGGAATTAGACTCTGTTTTATGTGGGTGTGTGTGGGGAGAGGTGCACTAGATGGAAAAAGAGTAGCCTTTGAATATGACCTTAATGAGTAATCTCCAGTGAGTCCATTTATCCACTGATAAACAAGCTCCCGTTTCAGACGTTGTGTTTCTTCTGTTTTCTATAGCTGATTTTTATAGGACTCTCCGCTCTGCCCAGCCCTTATGCAGTGTCCTTATTGGCTACTCTGTGGCCTGCTCCATTTATCCTCCAAGCTTCGTCTCCCTTGGTCTATGTGGAGTTGGCGCACAGTCCAGCTCGGGGTCTGTCTGCATTATAAGCACTACAACCCAGCTGCAGTGACGTAGTTCTAGCGTAGATGCTCTGACAGTGACTGAAGGACTTTTTTTCTGTCACTGTAGTGCACCCCCCTCGCCGAAGAAGCCGTAGGTAGATCAGTGGAGGAATTCTTCCCTTGGCTGAGTAGTCTGGTGCTTAGGGTTTCTTAACTGGGTTGCCTTGTTTTAGGTGGAGACCAGGTTTTAGTCAGTAGGTGCTAGAGTCCTTCCTAAGCTTGCTCTGTCGGCTCCCAGTCTCAGGGCAGGCCTGCATTGAAACGCTGCATTGGGGAAGTGCACCTGTGCGGCTGCAGAGCTTTAATGAAGATGCTCTCAGCTGATGGGAGGGAGCTCTCTGGTTGGCACAGAGTTAACCCACTTCCTGGAGAGGTGGTCGCCGTGGAGCCAGAGGAAGCTCTCCTGATGACATGGTGCAGTCTACGTGGGCGTTAGATTCAGTGTTCCCTGTGAGCTGTGCGCATGTGCGGCTGTCCAGGAGAAATGTAAATGCTGCCCAACTGATTAGCAGAGTGCCCTCTGCTAGGTTTTGTTGTTTTTACTGCTGGTGCACATTCACATATGCCTCGGGGCACATAAAATTATTCCGCACATGGATGGTTAGATTGGTGTAATTGTGTCACTGGGGGGAGGTTTGTGTGTGTGTGTGTGTGTGTATTTTCATACCCTTGTACGATGTAATTACAGTATCCTGAGAAATATCTGCAGTATAGACCAGATCTCAAGTGTTGTGGGAACTACTACAGTTTCGCTGTGTTGCAAGGCGTCTTTGGTTCTGAATCCCTCACCGCCTCTGATAAATGTTACCGGCTATGTTCAATAAATACCCCACGAGGGCTCGTATTTCATCCAGCTCATACTTTTTTTCTTGCCTTGCGTGGATGGTTGCAGGTACCGGTAAAGAGCGAGGTGTGTGTGGGTTTTTTTTTTGGTGGTGAAAGTTCTATCCTTTGGACAAACGTGTCACTCCCAGAGATGGAAGTGGGGCTTTGCGTTTCAAAATGACACCCTAAAAAGCGTGCAGGTTCTCATCGATGTTGGTTAATCACAAAGAGCAGTATTATTTGGGCAAAACATTTAGACCGGGGGAGGAGAAATGAAAACGAGACCCCAGTTCTGCAATGGGCCCGTGCATAACTTGACTTGCAGGCGCAGTCCTGTTACCTTTAACTTGCTCACTCGTGTCATGTGCGTAAAAGTAAGGCGCATCTTTCCGTGCTGCTGGATTGAGTTCTTGTGCAGATGGCTGCCTTTATAATGTAGGCTCTGGTTCCTGTAGCAAAAAGATTACTGTGATGGCAAATAGCCGCATCTCAGGATGAAGCAGAGTTTTATTTTATTTGGTTGTGTTGGAGGCATTTGAAGATTTTTAGCTGGATTTTAGCAAAGCTTTTTATTGCTTTGGGGGAATCTCCCCCTCCCCCCTATATATGCTTGATACATTTTACACAAGGCTAGCATGCAAACTTTTTGTGCGAATGTTCTAGTATGGCAGCAGTCCACGTGGTCTAGTTCAATGTTTCTCAACCTTTTTTTTTTATAAAGTACCCCTTTTTTGAAAAAAAAAAATTATAAATACCCCCTTAAAAAAAAAAAAAAAAGTACCCCCAGTATCTACAGTTTTCAGACAAACAACATTTTTTTCTACCATTGCAACACAGTTGTTTAAACAACTTAATCGTAGCCGGGCAGGCGATGACATTTTTGGGTGTAAAAAGTACAAAAATAATGAACCGCTGTGAAACTTACAACAAAAAATCAGTTTTCTCCAAATTTCAGTTGTGGTTATGTAACCTCCCCCCCCCCAGACTTCTCTTGAGTACCCCTAAGGGTACTCGGACCACTGGTTGAGAAACACTTGTCTAGTTGATTTCAGGTGCCATTTCCTTTGCTCCTATTCACTTACTAAATTCTTTTAATAAAAACTTTCTATCTTAATCTCTGCTGCGTGCCTCATCTTCCCCCTCCCCTTCAAAAGCAGCCCATTTTGTGGCTCACCCAGGATAGCAGAGGAATGAGAACATTTTGTTCCCCCAAGGACGGGCTTCTCTGCTGAGCGCTAGACAGGAGCGTCACCCCGGCAGCCAGATTGGAGTTAGGAGAAACAGAGGAAAAAGCAGCTTTGGCTACTTCCTCAGTGGAAGATGGATGTTGGGACTCTAGTCTCGGAGACCGGTCTGGCACCGAGATTTCGCCAACTGATCTGGGGGCCTGGAGACTGAACTGCTGTGCATGGTGGTCTTCTTCGCGGTAGGCCTGGGGTGTCGGCAAGCTTCCAGGGAGAGCCGGCTCGGAGCAGGAGGCCTGTGCGCGTCTGTCGTGTTTGGAGGCATCCGGGAATCTTTCCCTTGCCACCGATAATGCTGTTCGCTAGGGACATTCTTCTTATGGCTCAGACCTGTGGATATGCTGTAGGAGAGCCAGCAGTCCGTAAGCAGGGGCGGGGAACCTTTCTTGGGTTGGGGGCCCACAGAAAAATTGGTCGGGGGCCACACACCAGTGAGAAGGAAAAAAACAACCACCCCTCACTGATGTGGCCCCCGACTGAGAAGGAGAAACACTCCTCACCTTCCCCTCACACACCCGAGCCTGCGGGGCGGCCTAGTAGATTTTGTAGGCTCTAGCCACTGCAGTGGGGTGGTGGTGGGGCAGGGTTGGAGCACCAGCATGGGCTCCCGATGGTGGGGAGCGCCCTGAGCTTCGGGGGCCGAATCCTGGCAAGCCCGGGGCCCGCATCTGGCCCCCCGAGCCTTAAGTTCCTTGCCTCTGTCCTAAAGGACAGCGGTGTCACCAAGAGCAACAGTGTTAGCAGTGACCATATCTTTCACTTACTAATGAAAATGGTGAATGGAGTAACAAGTTAGTGCAAGACAGAAACTCTTTCTGGTCAGGCCTCAGCAAATAACATTGAGAGCAGCGTGCGACGGTGTTAAGCGCCGTGCAAAATATTCACTGTAAAACCCAGACTCCTATCACACTTTATTACAAATTCTAAATTTGTCCCAGAGCTGCCTGCAAGATGACTAAGATTTGCAGACTGCCAACCTGCTTGGTGTGGAGCTTTCAAGGTGCTGGTTTTTTCGGCATCAAAACCATGCAGTTCTGTGTGATTTTGAGGCATGTTTTATTTCTGGTTCCACTGGAACTAGCTCTGAAAGCCAAAGGTCTGAATCTCCCTCTGTTAAAACGAGAGAAATGTCTGTGGAAATCCAGACAGTTGAGTTTCTCGCAGCTCAGTTTGCTGTTCTGCAAAGTTAATTAGTGTTCTTCTCTGGTTCTGTAGCTTGTTGCTTTCTGGACTTTAATATG